GACTGTATTGACATTCAGCAGTGGCCAAGACAAATGGCTGCCTGCAAGGATTCCAGCAGCCACCACCATCTCTGTCCCCCTCTGCTTCATGCTCTGCCCTTTCCTTGTACAGGCTGTGACTTTCTGGGGTGGCCCTAGGAGACACAGACTTCCCTTCTTGCAGGAGAGAGAGAGGGAACATGGAACAGAGGATGGCAGTTGCCATTATGCCCTACACAAAGTATTTTACTCCACAAAGTCATACATCCAAGTTATTTATTTATTTATTTATTTATTTATTTATTTATTTGAGACAGTCTCACTAGGTAGCTCTGATTGGTCTGGAATTCAGGGTCCTCCTACCTCAGCCTTCCAGGTGTTGGGATCAGTGGCACACAACTCCACACTTGCTATAACATTCAAGGTTTTTTTTTTTTTCCCTTTGAGATAGTGTTTCTTTGTGTAATAGTCCTGGCTATCCTGGAACTCGACCACACTGGCCTTCAACCCTCAGAGATCCACCTGCCTCTGCCTCCTGAGTGCTGGGATTAAAGGCGTGTGCGCCACCACTGCCTAGCTGCTTGCCACATTTCTTACAGAAAGTCCTTCGGTTATTAGGTATATTGACTGACAGTCTTTGCAGTGGAGGTGTCTATGCTATGAAAATGAGAGACCCAGCATCTGCGGTTGCCATCTCCTGCCGCTTGTGCCAACAGAGAGACATTCAAATTTTAAATTTAACTCTTGTAAAATTATTGACCTTACAATGAGGGATATTGGAGATTCCAAAAATTTCTGCTTTCTTCATTTTGACAGGCTTGGGTTTCTGAAGGCTGTCTAGGGGCATTGAATAATGTATGCTTTCCAGGGATGGGACCCATGGGGCATATACTCGATGGAGTCCTAAGAGTCTTTTGAGTTGTGGGGAGGAGAGAAGGAGTTATGAGAAAGAGAAGGGGAGAAGAGAAGGGGAGAGGAGGACATGAGGGATCAGGAAATTTGAGTCGGGGGAAGAATAGAGGAGAGCAAGAAAAGAGATACCATAATAGAGGGAGCCATTATAGGTTTAAAGAGAAATCTGGCACTAGGGAAATGTCCAGAGATCTACAAGGATGACACCAACTAACAATCTAAGCATGATTACTTTATATGCCATTCTAGAGCCTTTATCCAGTAGCTGATGGAAGCAGAAGCAGACACCCACAACTAAACACTGCACAGAACTCCTGAAATCCAGTTGCAGAGGGAGGAGTGATGAGCAAAGGGGTCAAGACCAGGCTGGAGAAACCCACAGAAACAGCTGACCTGAACAAGGGGGAGCTCATGGACCCCAGATTGATAACTGAGAACCCACCCTGAAACCCCTGATCATGGTGTCAGTTAGGAGGCCTGGACAATCTATGGGGCCTCTGGCAGTGGATCAGTGTTTATCCCTAGTATATGAATGGACTTTGGGAGCCCACTCCACATAGAGGGATACTCTCTCAGCCTAGACACACGGGGGAGGGCTTAAGCCCTGCTCCAAATGATATGACAGACTTTAATGACTCCCCATGGAAGACCTCACCCTCCCTGGGGAGCAGAAAGAGGATGGGATAGGGGGTTGGTGGAGGGGGGGCATGGGAGGAGGGGAGGGAGAGGGAACTGGGATTAACATGTAAAACAAGCTTGTTTCTAATTTAAGTAAAAAAATCTGAAAAAAATGACAGCCAAAAAAAAAAAAAAAAGAGGTGGCTTCCCACCCTGAGGGCTCAGAGGATGAGCCACCATCGTCTCTCTGCTTCAAGCTAGAGGGTAGGTCTCTGTGAGAGGTAGAGGGTGTGATCCACACTCCCCATGCCATGGCAGGAAGCTCAGCAGCTGACACCTGCAATCCAACCATGGAAAAGCATGGATGTGCTCGCTCCCTTATGTCTGCGGTGTCTTTGAACATCACACCGGGATGTGGTCATGCACAAATCTGCTTGCATTCTTGTGTGCCTAGGTGCACGAGCGCTAGTGAAGGCAAGTGTTGAATTTGTGTCTGCCTAGACCAGTCTATGGCATGTCTTGAAGAATGCAAAAACCACACACTTTTGTAGACTCTACCAGCTGCTGTCCCTCCTACCCCCTTCCCTCCCCACATCCAGCAGCAAGCACTTTGGCCCAGCTGCCTTGCTGGAATGCTCTTTTGGAACATTTAAAAAAAAAAAAAGCATTTGGAAGGCCTTGTAAGAGAGGCACTGGAAGTTCATCACAGATTATTTGTAGTAAGAATTCTTCAGGGAGATGGGGGCTCTGAGGTACTGGCAACATTTTTCCCTTTTAAAAGTAAACAAGACTCCATTTTCTCCAGTATTCAGCCTGTTGCTCTTTCCTCTCCCTTGTAATCATCCTGCAAATGGACTCCCAAGGTCCAGATGGGCAGGCATGGGGCCCTTTCTGTGTGTGATACACACAGGACCTGTGAGAAAGCTCACCAAGCCCCAAGGAAAGGAGGCTCTGAGGGGACCCAGGTTCAGACCCAATCTGGATTGCTTCCTGCTGTTAATTCTTGTCTACTCAGTGATCCAAATGAACAGGTGATGCTCCTGCTTGGCTGCAGTAGTCACGCTAAGCTGTGTGCATCCACATTCGTGCAGGTGTGTGCACACATTGTGTGTGTTGTGTAAGTGAATAGAAGCAAAGACCATTGCCATCATCCTTTAGAAAGTGGAGGTGACTGTCCCATGTAGCACCTGTAAGCTCTGAGGCCTGCTGGGAACTGTAGCCATGTTCTGTGCTCAACTATCTATGGGCAGCAAAGTGTGGATGGACAGCATGGAGGGTCTCTTATTCCCCCTCTCACACCCAGCTGGCATGGCTACCCCTCTGTGTCCTGGCAGAGTCACCCCTTTGTTTTCCATCCCCCCAACACTCTGATGCTAGCCTCTGTGGGTCTACCTGGAAGTTCTTTCTGTGGGAGCAGGGAGGAATTTGAGGAGCACTACTGTTCTGACTCTACCAGTGCAAAGTTTAGAGTCAGATAGGTCAGTTTCAAGCTGGCTTTGTTCCATGTTTGTCTCTTAAGGGAAAGAGTGGTCCCCTGGGGATTTCCATGGCTCTGCGGACAGGCAGTGAGTGAGAAATTCAATATCACCTGCAATCCCAGAGGCTCACTTTCTGTTCTTCCCCTCCTCTTCCGTCTCACAAAAATGTTGGTGCTCATTCCTCAGGCTGTGTTTATGGGATCAGGATCATGTGGGTGGAGAGCTAGCATACACTTCCTCCTCCCGTCACCCCAAGAAGTGCGGTGTGTCTAGGTTCAGGGGCTACTCAGAGAGAAGCACATAATGTCTCTGGTATTATTTATTCTCTGAATTTTGAACAATTGTGGTTTTCTGTAATAGTCTCTGTCTATTGCAAAGAGAAGTTTCTTTGTTGAAGGGTGAGAATTATAGTTACTTGTGGGAATAAGGATAAATATTTAGAATGTGGTGAGGGATTAGTTTTGTTTGGTAAAGTGCTAGCTGTAGGCTCTTCTGCTAGGTCCATGACCTCACAGGTTTCCCATTGGTTGGCTAGGTTTCCTGTACTAGGTGTGATTTTTGTCTTGTTGAGTAGGCCTTAAGTCCGATGAGAGAGCTGGTGGTTACTGCCAAGATAGGAGTGCCACTGATGCACCCTTAGGGTTATGCCATTGCTGGCCATTATTGTTGGTTTTATGCTCAGGGATTGGTTGGTTTTTGTGCTGAGTTGGTTGGTGTAGAGGGTGTTTCTTTGACTCTGATTTCATGGTCATGATGTGCTTTTTTCACTGGTCAACCCTTCTCCTCCCCTTTTAACCTTTTGGCTCTGGTCTCAGGGCCAGTGAATTGGTTCTGGTCTCAGGGTCAGGGTGTGTTTCTTTGGCTCTGGTTTCAGGGCCAAACTGTGTTCTTTTGCTCTGGTTTCAGGGTCAGGGTGTATTTCTTTGGCTGCCCCTTTTACCCTGCAGGAAACATTCTGAGATGCCCTAGGCTTGGCTATTGAACTCGGCCTTCCTATCCTATAGCTTCAAGCCTACCAGCATGAGTGGCTCTCCATGCTGAGTTTAGTTCTCATCAGCCTTTATCTTCAGGGAGATCTGAAGGAAGACCCCAACTTCCTGTGCCAGCAAGTTTTCTTTTTTTTTTATTATCATTTTTTAATTTGAATTAAAAACAATATTGTTTTACATGACAATCCCAGTTCCCTTCTCCCTCCCGTCCTCCCCCACTACCCCCCCAACTAAATCCCTTCCTATCACATAGCCTTTCTTCTGTTTGTCCCCTGACTCAACCTTTCTGCTCCCTCATGACCTCTGCATCCTTCCTCTTCTTCCCTTATCATTCATGTAGCTCCCTCCCCCCTCTTCCCGTGCTCTCAATTTGCTCAGGGGATCTTGACCCTTTCCTCTTCTCCAAGGGACCATGTATGTCTCTCTTAGGGTCCTCCTTGTTTCCTAGCTTCTCTGGCAGTGTGGATTGTAGGCTGGTAATCTTTATGTCTAAAATCCACAAATGAGTGAGTATATATTATGTTTGTCTTTTTGTGATTCGGTTACCTTGCTCAGAATGGTTTCTTCTAGTTCTATCCATTTTCCTGCAAATTTCAAGATTCCATTGTTTTTTTTTTTGTCCCCCTCCCCTGAGTAGTTCTCCATTGTGTACTTTTTCTCGATCCATTCTTCGGTTGAGGGGCATCTAGACTGCTTCCAGTTTCTGGCTATTACAAATAGTGCTGCTATGAACATCGTTGAACAGGTGTCCTTGTTGTATGAATGTGCTTCTTTTGGGTATATGCCTAAGAGTCGAATTGCTGGATCTTGTGGTAGAGCCAGCAAGTTTTCTATTGTTGTAACAAAATATCCAAGGCTTGGCCCTTTCTAAAGAAAGAGGGTTGGCTAGGCAGTGGTGGGCACACCTTTAACCCCAGCATGTGGGAGGCAGAGGCAGGCAATATCTGTGAGTCCCAGGCTGTCCTGGTCTACAGAGTTAGTTCCAGGATAGCCAAGGGTACACAAAGAAACCCTGTCTCAAAAAACCAAAAACTAAACCAAATTACCACCACCACCACCAAAAAACAAACAAACCCCAGACCAAAAACCAACTATCCAAACAAAAAGGCTCATTTAGCTCACAGTTCAGGAGGTTCAAGGGGCACGGCTGTTCACCGGCATCGACTCAGTTCTGGTGAGACTTTATAGTGGATGAATAATAGCATGTGAAAGTCACATGGCGAGACTAGAAGCTGGAGGGTAACCAGTGAGGGCCAGACCTGCTCTTTCATAACAACCTCTCCTGAAAACAAGTGAGGGTCTCATGAGAACTTTACCAATTCCTCCCAAGGGCAACTCCCCACAACCCAATTATTTGACACTGAGCCCTGCCTCTTAAAGCACACACTACTTCCCTGACATTGCCACCCTAGGGACCAAGCTCACAGCACGTGGACCCTGGAGACACACTGACACTGCAAGGGAATCCTAGCCCTTCCTGATGCATGTTAGCTCATATGGAGCTGGAACGCCCCATCTGCTGCAGCTGACCTCCCCAGGTCTCAGTAATTCCCTCCCGGCCAGCTTGCTTGCCTTTGCACATGGTGACTTTGGATTGCTCTTCTTTGCTTGAGACCTGTGTGTTTTCAACACTGTTGTCCAGGGCCATCCTAGTCTGGCTCCAGGTCAGCTCTGGTCCCAAATATTTAAGAACCTATGAGGTGCCAGGGTTTTGGACTTGGTTAGGGGAATTCAGAAAATATGGATGGCTGGTCATTGAAAACATTTAGCCCAGAGTGATCTCTCTTCAAACTTGTACTTAAAATACACACGGAAGTACTGAAAATGGCCAAAAACCAATGCAAGAATGCCCAGGAACAGGGTCAACAATGGCTAGCTTTGACCAGGGCTCCCATTATCTTCAGCAACAATGAGGGATCCAGAAGTACAATTGGGGACATTTTCATTGTTAGTGGCTCAGTTGGCCAGAGGTGGAAGAAGCCTTGACTCTAGTCAAGGTTTAAAGAAGTCACTGAGCCCAGCTGAGCAGTCCCTTTCTTCTGGGTGCCTGTCAGTCTGGACTCTTGTCTCCCATCCTGCTTGCTATAGAGACAGACAGACAAAAGCTCAGGCAGGTGACACTGCATGGTAAAAGGTGTAGGACAATAGTAAGTACACTGCTGCTGGCAGAGCCCAGACAAGCCTGGCTTTGCCTTCCAGGTAGAACTCTGGGTGAAAGAATGATCCCCTAATTCACAGGAATTCACTTTCCCCAGGAATGTCAGAAAAAACTGGTTCTCTCAAATGGAAGGTCACACAAAAGCAAGTGCCTGACACTGGCCATGGCATTGGGCCTGGAGAGAGCTGGCTTTGCTTTTAGCTTTAGGTCCCCAGGGGGTACTTTAGGGGACCAGGGGTCAGGGGACAGGCAAAGAAAGTGACCCCATCCCATGCTCTCACCCGCAAAGGTCTTCTTTATGGAGTCATTTGAATAGAAACACTGAACCAATGAATGTGGTCTGAACTGCACACACTGATTACAGCTGAAAATACAATTTTTGAAAATGTTATTTTTAGGAAGAAATAAACAATGATCTAAGGATTGGCATTTCATGCTTTCCATGAGCTATAAGGATATATGTAATTATTAGGTTTGCTAAGGGTGACAAGAAGGACAATAGGGTGAGGGACAAGCCCAACTGGAAAGGCCATCTCTGGTAGAGGGGAAGGCTATCCAGTTGTTCACTGCCCACAGAGCTTGGTTCTCCATTTGGCAGTGAGGGAGAACAGAGCTGCTGAAGGAGAGGCAATCTAGACTTGCTGGAAGCCCCAAGAAAGAGTAAAGGGTGAGGGCTGTAATGTTATGGAGGCTGGAGAGAGGAAGTGACGTTTGGAGGCTCAGGCTAGTGTGAGGAAGAAAGTGCAAGTGGGAAGAAGCAATAATCAAAGATACAGTGTTTTCGAGACAGGGTTTCTATCTTTTGAGACAGGGCTTCTATCTTTGGAGCCTGTCCTGGAACTCACTCTGTAGACCAGGCTGGTCTGGAACTCACAGAGATTCATCTGCCTCTGCTTCCTGAGCACTGGGATTAAAGATATGTGCCACCACTGCCTGGCAAAGACAAAGGATTTGAAAACTCCCAGACTGAGGGTAAAGAGCTTGGTCCAGAGAGTAACTTCAGTAAAGATGTGTCATTTAAGCTGAGGGACTCAACCTTCAGTGGTTAATTCAGCCAGTGATTCAGATGCACAGAGAAGCAGCCAGTCTGAGACTTAGTGTGGAGTTGGACCATCCTGTCTGCAAATGCAGTCCAGTCTGAGAGCTAGTGTGCAGCTAAGACCATCATGGCAGCAAACTCAGAAGACAATGGCGCAAGTTCAAAGCTTTCAGAAAGATCAGTTTTTTTTATTTATTTATTTTTAATTTCTTTTACGTGACAACAAAGCCTTTCTGGTGTGTAAGGACTCTGGAAGTATACCAAGTGTCACAGCACTGTAGATGAGGGAAGAATCAAATACAAGTACCCAGGACCAGATATGCCAACTCTTAGCATCTCCACAGAGTGAAGAAGCTGATATCAGAATGAAGGCTGAAGTCACAGAATAAACAAGGACCGTGGTGTGCTGCTGTGACAACCCAACCTGATGGAGGGTTACAGACTGAGACACTGACTTTGGAGCCAAGGGAATGAAGACAGACAGACTTCCTGCTAGGTGGGGGATGATGTTCCAAAGAGACTAGAAAATGAGTAAATGAAGGAGATGGTTCAGAGGGTGAAGTCCCAGATGATAGCCAAAGGTGGCTGGTGCAGGAGAGGGCGGAGACTGCTAAGCCCACCTGTTGAGATGCCTCTGGGCTGTTCAGCTGAAGTGTCTTGCAGGCGATGATGTTAGAGAGGCATTCTGGGAGTGGAGAGTGAGTAGGGTCTGAGGCTAGTGTGTCTGTGAGCAAGAGAGGAGGTCACTGTGGTGAGGCTGTCACTGTGGAGAGGTGGTCACGGTGGAGAGATGGTAACTGAGGAGAGGTGGTCCCCAGGGAAAGGTGGTAACTGAGGAGAGGTGACCACAGTGGAGAGGAGAGGCTGTCACCATGGAGAGGTGGTCACAGTGGTGAGGTGGTCACCATGGAGGGGTGGTCACTGAGGAGCAGTGGTCACTGAGGAGAGGCGGTCACAGTGTTGAGGTGGTCACCTTGTGCACCTTGGGTGAGGCATTTGGCTTTTCTTCTTAGTCACACATGACTGGAGAGTTAGAGCGAAGACCGTGTGAGCTGTGTGCAGGCACAGAAGCAGTGACACCATTGTTTGGAGTGCTGAGGAATATTTTAATTGGGCAAAGATGTGTTACATTTGTTTATGCTGCGTTTGTTTCATCTTGCCTGCCTAAGGCACCTGATGGTCTAATAAAAGGCTGAATGGCCAATAGCTAGGTAGGAGAGGGGTAGGCAGAGCTGCCAGGCAGAAAGAATAAGTAGGAGGAGAAACTTGAGAGAAGAGGGGAGAAGAACAAGAGAAGGAGGAGAGAACATGGGACACACTGGGACCAGAAGCCAGGTAGTCACCAGCTAGCCAGATGTACAGAAACAGTGAAAGTAAGATATACAGACGTAATAAGTCAGGGGCAAAAGGTAGATAAAGAGAAACAGGTTAAGTTAAAAGAGCTAGCCAGAAAAGAGCTAAGCTAGGCTGAGTACTCAAAAATAATAATAAGACTTGTCATGATTTGGGAGCTGGGTGGTGGCCTAAAAGAAAAAGTCTGGTACTGTTAGACCCCCGAAAACTCAAGTATCCGGGGTCCCAGGCCACGTTTTCGGTCACCCCAATCACCAGGAGGATTCGAGAGCTTGCTGCAAACTGCATGAGGCTTTATTGTAATTTAACGAGCTAACCCCATGTTAGCTCAGGTCTTTCAC